TCACGATCAAACCCGTCTAAATTGGTCGACGTCACCTCTGACGTTTCTCTGCTAATAATTCTTTGCAACGATGACGTCACTTTCAATCGAGCCTTCTGCCAATTTTGTTGTACCATTCTTGCAAACGTTCATCTTACGAGCGTATGGCAAACGTTCAAAAAAGGAGGTTCAAAAAGGAATTATAGAATTACATTTTATTAATAGTCTTTACTACTTTATTAATAGTCCTTAACGATTATTACTTCTTCATTCAACTATTCTATTTCGATTCCCCCCCCCCCCCTCTACGTCGTTACATTCTATATATCTGGAGATTGGTAATTTTAAAATTGCCGAAAAATTAAAAAAAGTTACCAAGATACGAGAATACGAGAGAAGCAAAGAGATTTTGGACATTGGGTTAGACTATTTCTTTTTTCTTTTTTTTCCCTCTCTAGCCAGCTAAAGGCAAAACACTGGCGAAAATGGCGATAACGCCATAACTATTAATAGAAGGAACCAGTTGTACCGCTTGCGGCGATGCTCGTAAAAATAGCTCACGATCCATTCGAAATCGAATGAGATTCCATTCGAACGATCGTCGCTCGAAATGGCTATTCGTATTGTTCGTTTCGAAATCGACTAGCGGACAATTTTCATGAAAGATCCTGAGACGGAAAAATCGCCGGACAAAGGATTTATTATTTCGATCTCGTTTCGACTGGTTTAAACGGCGTTAATTATAATCCTCGAGATAAATCATTTCGGTTAATGATTCTTATTTACTACAACAGCGGATGATAGGTCGTTTCGATTTATTATCCAAGCATTTCGAGCGTAACAATATAATTTAAGGAAATACTACGCGATAAATCGTGTCAACTAAACCAGGCGGCTAAACTTATGGGTTTTAAGAAAGCTGGCTTTACACGGATTACTTCGATCCGTGATTAAATAATGAACGATTATAGATCGTTTCGTTAGGTCGCCAACTAAACTCTTTTTGCTCGATTATTTTTCGATGCAACGATAAACGTGAACAAAAAAAAAAAAAAAAAAAAAAAAGAAAAGAAACAAGTTATGGCTTACCGATCAATTTAGCGAGCTCGCACAAGAACCACGAAGGTGGAAGATCCATCATGGCGACGATCAGGTGTGATCATAGATGATCACGCAACGATACGATCCGAGTTATTAGGTTATTATACGAACGATGTAGCGTGTTATTTAATCGCGCGTACATTCGAAACGCACCATTCGATAGAAATTCGCCCCCAATCGTCAACCGTCGCGTAAAACGTTTTCACAAACACGCATCGCAACGAGACAGGATTATCGGATATATTAATCGGGCCCTGATAATCAGATTTAACCACCGGTTTTTGCGGATTTTAATTATTCCACGTTATCACCTCCAACACCTGCGCCGACCTCATCGTACGTCGAACCGTACTCGTCTCGCCTGCACTTTTATCGCCTAGTTTCACCCTCTTCCCTCGAACTTGAGATTCCACGATGGATGGAAAATTTTTAATAAATCCGTTTCGATTATCGCGCGAACGAGCGAAATGGGAGACGTTAGAGACGTTGTTTGAATTTCGATTGTAAAGGGGAGAAATTGTTTGAAATTCACGAGGCTGCCGGGAGTGTTGGTATTTGTAAAGATTAACGATTCTAGGAGGATAGCGTCGCGATTGGTCCCCCCGGTTGTATATACAATGACTTTCATTTCGTGATTTCGCGATTATCCCCAGTGTTTGTATATTGTCGCCTCTGCCGATTGATAACTAATCTATTTATTTAAATTCGACTCACTCGATTTTCCATTTCGTTTCAATTTCAACACTGCTAATTTTCTAATTCGATATATATACACTTTCGTGCCATTGGTCCATTTCTACTTTCTTTCATACGATTTGATACCACTTAATGATACCGATATCTCGCTCAATAAGAAACAAGTTGGAATCGTACGTTACGATAACATTTTAAATCGTATTCCACCACGATTGTAATATCAGAATTGCACAGGAATCGTCCCCCCCCCCGTCTTTAGACGAGAATATACGTTCAATCATCTCTAACGTGTGAACAACAATCCATTATACTACGTATTTCTCCCCCTCCCCTTCCCCCCTCCCTTTATTTTCGCGATCGAATGATTCTCGGTATCGAGAGATCGATGTGTATCTGAACGCTGAAACGTGTTTGCAATTTTTGCGTCTCGTAATCGCGATAACCTTATCTCGATACACGGTTGATCGTTCGTGCAGAATGGCAAAGATACATTAATTAAAAGATGTCGTTCGATGATTTTTTCTTTTTTTTTAATCTCTCTGAACGATTTGTCTTCAGAGGGCAAAGAAAATATATTCACGATTGCACTTATTGTATAATTATTTTTTAATAATTGAAAACACGATTTACAAAGTTCGATTTATAAACGAACGATCGATAAAAATAAGAAAAAAAAAAAAAAAAAAAAGAAGCCACGCGGATGGAAAAATGTCGCATCTTTCATCGAAATTCATGGCAGGGGTATAAAAGTCGATCGGAATCCAATTGCATCGCGACCAATCGGAACGCGTTCGATCGAATGACGACGAGTCCTATTATACTAACCGGCTTCGGAATATTCATTCCGTAGTCCACGTTGCTCACATGTGAAGAATGAGTTTTAACCACGGCCAGCAATCGTGTCAAGACACCACATGTAAGGATTCTGGGGATTTAACGGAAGCTCGACAGACACCTACATATCTGAACAAACATATTTCGTTACGGTGGTGGTGACGAAACAATGTCCGCTTATCTTTGACGCACGAGTGACACGCGATCTCGAGGCAAATACGGAGGACCATGCGCGAAACGCGCTCGAAATTTATTCAATTCCGACAACAACTTTCCCAACAACTTCGGGCTTACGCATTATGCAAGATAAAAATCATGAATTGCAAATTGACTGTCGCACTGTCGAAGCCTCTCGTATTAGATACTGGAACGACAGGATTCCATTAATTTTACGATATCATTTCCCCCCTTTTTCGTTGTCAAACAATTTTTAACAATATATTTTCTTTTTATTATTCCATGATTGTTCCCGTTAACCTCTTATTGTTTAAATGTTAACGTAAATTGCGTTAAAAATCTGCCGAATCTTCTCTCCTTTTTTTCAAATTGTTCTTGTCAGAAGTTAACCATTAACTTTTGCGAATAACAAGATTTGACTACTTTTAAAATTTTCCTTCGTACTTTTGGAAAATACCAATAATGGAAAAGAATTAAAATATGGGAACACGACGTATTACGACAACTTATATATTTTTAAAGATTTTATCATTATTTTTATTTTTTTTTTAGTCAATTTTATCCTCTCTACATCGAGAAGAGGCGTCAAAGAGATACGTATTCGAATATCTGAATGATTTTATTACGTTACATTAAGAATTAAATCTCGAAAACATATTTTTTTTTTTTTTACGGATCTAATTTAATTAATATTTAATACCGTACTATTAGTTAATAACCAATAATATTAAACGTAAATGTAAATTGTATTATTTACGTTAGATTTAGACAAATTTCACTTCGATCAATAATGAAGCGATCGGTCGAAAAACAAATATTTATGAAAATTGGTCGAGGATCGATAGATTGGGTGTGATCGAGCAAGGCGAGATATTGACGAATTACAAGTGCGAGCACATTATTGTCTATAGGATCAATAAGAACGAGGTCGCGAGAGTGAGAACAATTCGAGATCACTCGAGGGTAATAGATCAGAGTGGATAATGGTATTGTCGGTTTGAGAGTGTTCGCCAGTACTCGGAGTACCGATCGACTCGACGCCGCATGAATGGAGAAAGGTGAACACTCGTATTCGTCAAGGGTAGCCTTGCGAACAGCTGATTCCTTCTCGCCGCGATGACAAATCAATGGAACGTGGACCAGATGTTCACCGAGAGAATGACTCTGCGCGCGGATCCTTTCGTCAAAATGTATAATATCGTGAATTTCAAGGGCAAACACGACCGATCCGTCGCCCGAATGATCAAATTTACCGTATATTTTCTGATTACGTGTTTTCGTTACGTGTCGAATCTATTTTCCGCTAACTGTTCGAAGTCTTCGACAACGACACGTGCTCCACATCTGGATATGTGGAACCTCGATCGTAACTTTCGTGGCAACTTTCTTAAAATAGAGACGATATTTCAAGATCGTCGTTTCGAGATTTTGTAAGCGAGGTGTAAAATTTGTTCGATGGATTAGTTACGATGGTGAAGTAACATAAAATAAATTACGATGGATAAACGATCGATGGTTTGATAGTTAGCATGAATTAATCGCTTTTTAGTATTTGGATTATTGATTACTATAGGATATTAAGACGGACTAATTTATCCCTGGAATACTATAACCAAATATTATATTTCCCATTCGTTTTTTGTCTCAAATGTCTTTAAAAATGTAATCATCGAACATTTGCAACAGTAGTAATTCTTTGGAAAATCAAAAATATTCAATGGCATATCTGAATTTATTTCAAATAATTTTTTAAGTTATTACAGTGTTGTTGTAGATTTTTTGCATCACTTAAATTCTAATTTAATATTCTTATTTTCATAATCGAAGGATATAGTTTTTCGACAAAGATTAACAAGAGATATAAGCACAGATATATAGTATCGCAGGGTGTTCTTCTGTCGTAAAATATCGATAATATAGATTGATTTAATATTTCTCATATTCCTCACTAGAGGGCTATACCACTAACGATAATAGTAGTAATGTTGTAACAATAACAACAACAACAACAACAACAACAACAATAATAATAATTGAAAAGATATTAATTAAGATATAATATCAAAAATCCAAGTACTAAAAATTAGATGAAAATATACATATCTTTCTTTCTAATTTCTCTTTGTAAAAATTTAATTTCTTACTTTAAATTTAATTTCTTACTTTGTGAAGCATTGCATGAATAGCATCTACAGTAGTAATCGGAGTATTACCTTTTTTTAATGTTACACCACCAGCCGGATGACCTGAAAATGAAACAATAAACCAAACTGCGGCATTTCAACACAAAAAAGTAATCTAATTATATTATTCTATATAACTATACATTGTGTTTCGTGTGTACAACGAAAGGCGTGCTTCGCTAATTTCAAATCAATAAATTCATGTTTGGAAAGCGTGACTATTTTATAAAGTTTTGGAAATTATTATTACTAATACAGCCCGAGCAAAGCGTCACGTGTTATCGATTCAAATGTACGGGAGAATCGTTCGATGCTCGAAAAGAGTGAAACACGATATTTTCCGATGTTATTCGCGAACGTACGTTCTGCTTTACTAACCGAGAACCACAGTTATCATGAAAGTGGGGGCGCCACTTAACGCAAGAAAGTGGCGCCCCTTTCGGTGTTTAGTCATTTAATCAAACATCGGTATAGGCGCAAAATGGCGTCAATAGAAAAGCAATCAATCGCTCTTTCTTAGTACGCATGATTTTTTTTTTTCCTTTCTCTCCAAATGAGTACAACAATAAGCTCAAAGATATTGATCAAACGTAAACTTGACCGATCTTCCCAATAAAATATTTTACAGATTAGGTACAATAGTATACACGACAAAGAAAACAAAAAAAAAAAAAAATTGAATTTATAACTTTTTTTTTGATTCGTTAGCTTTCCACCACCAAAAATTTTTTATTTGAACTTTAATGTTTGGCAAGTTACTATAAACAAGATCAAAACCTACTGCTAAAAGTAGAAACAAACGAAACAATAGTCTTCGAACGACTGGTCCAAGTAATTTTCGTTAAGTCAAAACAGCGACTGTGAGAACACCTGAATTATATGTACGTACGTATGTACACACATACGAGACAGGTGTGTTGTTGCGCTCTCGGGAAATTGATCGCAGAAATTTAATAGCAGCTATTTAGAACATAATGTGATTGAGATCTAGAGTCACGATTTCTTTAATCCTCTATTTCAATCTCACATTAAATTCCAGTGACCTTGCACAAATCTTAAAGGGTATAGCCTACTCTTAGAACAATCTAACTAACTACTTTTAAAATACTTTTATCACGAAACTACTACTTCTATTTCCATTAATCCAAAAATCCTTTTTCTTTTTCTTTTTTTAAATATATAATTAATATATAAATTGTTTTAAAAAATTTATATATCATTAATTGCTTCTTACTAGTAAAATATCTCGAAATCATTTATTTCCTATTAAATATTATATACAAGCCATTTATCCAAGTACATACTATTTTTTTTCTATAATATTAATGCCTGTATCAAATTAGCAGATAGATTCATCGATAATTGGTTAACCGGCAAATTCGAATCTCGCAATATTTAATATGTCATAAGATTTACAGAAAAGAATCGATAGTAGAAAGGATCTTGCGAAAAGAAGGATCGATGAAAAGTCCTCTAGTGGCGAGTACAGGAGCTGCTGCCACACCCAATTTGTTCCACATCTAGAAGATGTATAATACACTTCCTGTATTTCAAATTTTAATTATGCTTATTTTCATTTGTATATAACAGCCTATTTTTAATACGATATATATATACATCATCGTAAATAACATCCGAGATAGTTCTTCATTTGTACATCAAACACTAATTGTCAACATTTGCATACCTATTAATTATACGTTTCGTATTACCGTCACATCTTGTTAAATCATACCATATAAAACTATATTTGACGATATCGTTAACGATTTATTCACGATCATTTTTATCGCGAGTAAAAACACAGATATATGTATATATGCTCCCTATGCTATTACAATAATGATCACTTGTCCATTGAAAGCATACAATCAGATCTCATCCACGTGCGTATACGTGCGCGTTCTCACCAAAGAAAGAGATAAAGCGGATGCACGATAGTAGCACCCTATAGTTAATATCACCAGGCGATAGTAACGAAAAGCAAACAGTTTTGTGTGTATTGAACAAATAACAGATTTTCATTCGAAAACATAGAAACATCAAAGTATCCTTCGTTACATGCATCGCCTGTTGTCACTGTTGAATAGAAAAAAAAAAAAAAAAAAAGAAAAGATCTTCGCTTAAATAAACTGAAATTTGGACTATCAAACAATCGTCCATTCTTAGCGGGCAACAAGATTATTCTATTCTGGATAAAAATTATCATATTATTGCTCGTGGCAAAGAGCAATTAAAAAACATTTTGACGTTCAATTTCAATTTATCAGAAGAAGAAGAAGAAGAAGAAACCAGGTTAACGAAACGTTGAAACCTTTCAACTAAATAGAACGATCGTGAAAGAGAAGAGAAACGGATGATCTTAGTTTAGACGATTGAACGAACAAGCAATGCCACGTCCTTTTCATCGAGTTATCGATTCGAGATGATATAATGGATTGGAAAGCTTTCTTCCGTCAAAAAATAAGCATGGCCTACGCGGCCCATGTTACCCTACCAACAAGCAAAGTGTCACGCTTACAAACGAGCGAGCTCCCCTTTATCCAACCATTCCCATTCTTGGCCATGCTTTGCAACACGGATGTAGCATCCACTTTGCTGGAACGTCTGTCGGTTTCCGGGGTCGGAGGCGGAGAAGACGGTTTCCACTCGCGACGGGGAATTCTCCGCCGCTACATGCGCGTGGAAAACTGCGAGGTAAAGTGTGTCACGGGGAGAAGAGGAGGAAATAGGAGAGACGGAGAGTCAATGAGCTCGTTTCTCGTCGTAACGCAACCCGCCGAGGCTGACCTTGCAGCCGGAAAAACAAGTCGGTTTTGGCCTGTTACCAGAATTTTGCGTTATTAATAATACATCCAAAAATGCGCGGTTGATCCGCGTTCATTATCCTTCGTTGTTGCATTCTCAAATTCCGGGATTATCTCATGGAGGAAGAATTAGATAAAGAAGAGAAGAGACGTTGATCTTCAATTCTGTCTTTTGATCAGTGATTTTCACATACTTCTCTTTAATTTCATCGATTGTCGAAAAGAAAATTTTCATTTTTGTCCACTTTAACAAACGCAAATTTTCTCCACCATTTGATCATGATTCTTAGTTAGAAGCATTATTTGCACAATCGATCGCTAATTTTTCTTTCTTTCTTCCACGAAATCAATCGAACTGTTATCGAGATGCCTTTCACGATTTATCTATTTATTTAATTAATTTAAAAAAAAATGCGGTTGTATTACATTACAAAGTAATATATATTTTTTCAACATTGTTCATCTAATATTACGTGGAAGGCTTCGTTTTGGAGAAGGAAAAAGTAATTGATTAATAATCCCGATATTTGTTATTTAATTTGCAATTTTATGCAAGAGCGTTAGAAAAAATTAATTTAAAAAATTTTTCTACATTTACACAATAATCTATGCAAATAATATCGATAGATAATGTTTTTCGTGTTTAATCTCTTCCAAAATCAATTATATTCTTTCATCTTAAACACGCTTTATTTTATAGTTCAGTTCATTGTAGTAATTAATATCATTTTTTCAAAAGAAAAAAAAAAATAAAATAAATAAATAAAAAAAAAAAATAAAAAGGAGAGAGAGAAAGAGAAAAAAGATCGAGAGAGAGAAATGAGACAAACTCGTAATTTATATATATATATTATATATGACTATCCCCGATAGAAGAAAAACAACGATAAAGAAAACGTGCATCAAGCAACGAGGCATTCGTCTCTTTAGAACTTAACGAAGTAAAGTGACTACAATTCGCCGCAGTGAACCGCCCCTTTCAAACGAAATACACACCCACGCTCTGGCTCGGGGTCAAAATGCATCGACACGTGGAAATATACGCGTTCAATATATATATATATATATATATATATCGTAGGATCGTTCGCGAAATTCATGGAAAGGATGATTTCCCGAATGCAATAATCGCACAAAAACATGTGGCTAATAAGATGAAACGATGTTTATGAGTTTGAATGAATGTTTAATTAATTTATACGATATGAATAGCTAACAAATACCGCGTAATGAAAAAAATTTCAATAGTGTAATTATTCTTACAACTGCCTCTAAGTTATGTATATGTATATAATACGAGATTTATCGATGACGAAATATGATACAGTACTTAGATGACCGTGTTTGGAAGAACAAACGTACAGGATGTGTTATTTCAATGTATCAATGAGCGTATTTTGAAAACTATACTGAATCGATGAGAGTGTGCGTGGATTATAGAAATAAATAATGAAATTGTTTATTTTCAAATAATTAAAAAATCAATAAACGAAGTCGATTTAAATAGATTCAAAATTATCATCCTTCTCTTTTCGAGACATACGATAATTTTGATTTTCAAAGTCCGTCGAATCATAAATTCCTATACGCGATAATTATTATTATTTAAAAATAATTCAATTTATAATAGAATAGGAAATTGCTAATGATTTTTTAATTTTAATTTATTATTAGAATCTCCAAGTGCATAATCGAGTATACGAGTATTATCATTAAGATTAATAATAAATAATCAATATTTCATTAAGCTTTTTTATATCTAGTTTTTTTTATATGTAAATGTGAAATCAATATTATAACTAGTAAATTGAAATATCGATATTAATTTTGTTTTTTACGTTTAAACACATGCTTCACATCAAAAGATCAAAAGCAAATAAATCGCGCAATCATAAAAATCAATCAATGCAAGTTTTTTATATCGAATACTTCGATCCAGATAACGTATCTAATATAATAATTATCCAATTTGTATTTATAGTTCTTTTATTTCTTTTTAAAAATGACTAGATTTGTAGAAAAAAAAGGAATCGAGATCTTTGGTTTGGATAAAAATCATTTTGGTACGATATTACGAGCATTCGATTTTTGAATGGATGAAAAAAGATGATATTTATCACACTTTAAAAACAAAGAATAAATTACGTTGCAAAATTGATTAATTTTCGACGATCATTTAACATTACGTTCGTTCGATAGATTAGATTGAGGATTTCTTTGTGTATGACATTATGTCTTTTGACAGACTTAAAAACC